AGGGCAATGAATGTACAAATGTGCTTTACACAATTGATATATGTATGGATTGTGATAAGAGTTGTATGAGCCCCCAATAAAATGATTAAAAATAATATGTGCTTGTAATGCAAGGGTACACCTAGGTAAGTGCTAGATGACCAATAAAAGGTTGGTAGTCAGAGCCCATTCTGAGACACCTTGGGAGTAAGGCCTGGTAGTGTTTCTGAAAGATGCCAGTCATTGAAGACCCCATGGGGAAGTTCTACTCTCTGCACATCAAGTCCCTGTAGACAGCAAGTAGTGAGGTGACAACAGTATACTGGTGGTATGGGCCTTGAATGAGGCCTACACAAAACTGACATTGTTTTCACAGTCATCTAAGACATCTAGGACATACCCCCTCCACCATCACTGCCTTGGTCCTTTTAAGTTTTGGTGTCTGTTGAATTTTTTCTAGTAATCCATAAATATTTCCTGAAGTGAATAGAATTAGAATTTTCTTAGCGGTAGTGAGCATTGACAGTATATATGAGTTTATGTGGACTCTCCTAAATAGAATCCTTTAGCGCTGTGGGAAGAACGTTCAATTGATTTTATGGGAGTAGAAAGCCCCAGTGTTCTACTGTGATTGGAGGGTTCGAACTGTTGACCTTGCAGTTAGCAGCCCAACTGGTAACCACTCTGCCACCAGGGCCCTTGTTTGGTTGAGTTTTAGAAGTATATGTCTCTCTGGTACTGTCATATCATATACCTCATCTTAGAGTCTCTAGTTTTATATGAGCACCCCTGGTAGCACAGTGGATTAAGATCTAGGCTGCAAACTCAAGGGTTGGCAGTTCAAACTTATCAGTTGCTCTTGAGAGAAGGATGAAGTAGTATGTGTAAAGATTGACAGCCAGGTCAGCTCTATGGAGCAGCTCCCTTCTGTCCTACAAGGGTACTAGGAGTTAGAATTGACTTCACGGCTGTGGTTTTGGTTTAGTTTGGTTCTTTTTCTTGTGTGAATTGTGGTGTTCTTTTGTTTCAAAATGAAATGTACATCTAAGTGTACTAGGAAAATACAGTGGAAAGATTTTTTTTGCATAAAAATAACAGGCATGGGAAAAGTTACATAGATGTCATTAAGAAAGGAAAAAGGATATGTGCTTATAGTTACTTTGTTAAATGCTTTTGATTAGGACAGAATTTCAGTAATAAACTTCAAAGGTTTTGCTTGGGCCCCAAGTTTCTCATTATATGGCCATATGATTTGTGTATGCTTAAGAGCTACAGCTATTTAACGGGAACGATGCCAGGGAACTGTCAAATCCGACCATTTTGACTTCACATTGCTCTCTCTTTCAAAGCAGCTGCTGAAGGCTTTTTTGTCTTAGTGTGTTGAAAAGAACCACAGAGTCAGCCAGAAAAGCAGTTGAGCTTTTTAGAGGGTGCACTATAATTGGAACAGCGATTCTGGGAAGATGTGCATTAGTTTGCTTGTGGCCGATGCTGCTGGGAGAGTAGTTAATGTCACTGATTAATGTGTGTGATGGGTAATAAATAGGCTCTGACTGGATTAATGGAAGTTCGCAATAGTCCAGAGAACCAGGAAAGGGCTGAGTGACTGGAAGGACAGAAGACAGTGGCCATGAAGGCTGGGGGCTGGTTGGCAGGAGCTCTGGGGCTCTCTTGTGCAGAGTCTCCAGGCAGGAAAATAATGCTCACTCCACTTTTTTTTTTAGCTTCTCTTTTTTATTCATTTTCAAACCTGTGAATTCTGTCTCTTCTTTTTTTGCCCTCAAAAATAATTTTATTGGGAGCTAACAAAGATATCGTATTGTTCCGTAGTTCAATCACATCAAGCAGTATTGTACAATTGCTAACACAATCAGTTTCAAAACATTCTCTTCCTTCTTGAACTCCTTGACATTAATGACCCTTCACTTCCCACTTCCCCCACTGTACCCCCTAGGGCCCCTTATTCGACTTGCTGTCTCTATAGGTTCATCAGTTGTGGGTTTCATACACTGAAAAACAGAAAAAACATAACAAAAATTCAAGAGCGTTACTTGTAATGACAAAATACATCTGTGTTAGGCCAGGTTGACTAGAGAAACAAATCCAGTGACAGTCATGTATGTACAAGAAAGAGCTTTATTTCAAGAAGTAATTATGCATCCATAAAACATCCCAGCCCAGTCAAGATCAAGTCCTTCAGTCTGATACTAGTCCATAAGTTGGATACTAGTCCATAAATCCTTCTTCAGACTCACGAAGCCACAAGTAATGATGCAAAATGCAGGAAGATCACAGGCCAGTGGGTGAAAAGTCATTGGGATCTGATGGCAGTAGAAGCATCACAGGGCTCTGGGAGGTCTCCAGAAGATCTCTGAGTGGTTTGCCAGCACTAGATTGAAGACAAGGAGAGAGGGGGAGATTCCCAGGACCTTCCTTATGAGAAAGTCATGCCCACGAGGAGGCACCATCAGGATGTGATCTGATTGACAGGCTAAACGACACCCCTACACTTCAAGTTGACATGAAATTATGTAATTACCACAACAACTGGAATAAACTCCAATATGAAAAGCAAAAACAGGAAATGTTGAAAAGCAGATCAAGCCCAAGGTGCCTTAGAGGGGGGAATCAATTGACAAGGTTTTAATCGTTCATGTCAGGTTTATCATCTTAAGTATACTTTTAGAGATGAAGATTTGAGAGATATAATCTTAACTAGTACAATAAACATGATAAAGGGAGAAAGATCTTGAAATTGTCAAGGATTTTGTCTTGCTTAGATGCATAATCAATGTTCATGGAAGCAGGGGTCAAGAGGTTAAATGATGGGATTGTATTGGGTGAATCTGCTGCACAAGATTTTTTTTTTAGTGTGAAGAGCAAGGGTGTCTCACTTTGAGGTCCCAGGTGTGCCTGGCTCCAGCCCTGGGATTCTTAATTGCCTCATATGCCTGTGAAAGTTGGACAATGCAGAAGGAAAACTGCATAAATAATTGGTGCATTTAAGTTATGGTGTTGTCGAAGAATGCTGAAAGTACCGTGAATTGCCAGACGAACAAACCAGTCTGTCTTAGAAGAAGTGCAGCCAGAATGCTCCTTAGAAGGGGGAATGATGATAAGACTTCGTCTTACGTACTTTGGACAAGTTATCAGGGACGTAG